TTGTTTTTGCACCAACTCCAAATCTGCCCTAAATCTGCAATCATCATCATCATCATCATCATCATCTGGTAAACCCTGAGTTCAGGTATTGCATTTCTTCTCCGATTCCACGATCGACATATGCTAGCTATTTTGAAACACACCTCCGTTCGCCAATCGCCATATACTTCAAATTGGAAAGTAAGAAAGATCCCTTTTTTACATTTGTTTTCCAGTTCATACCTGTTTAAATATTGATCTAACTGATAATTTTTTTTAGATCTATTTCGTCGGTATTTTCTTTAGTGAAAATCAAGTACTTGTTATTAGGGCAAAATTTTTGCTCACTTCACAATGTTATTCTTAATATCATATTATCATGCTATATGGACGCGTTGATTGCCGTATTACATTTGGAATTCTTGAATGATACCTAATCTAGGAAGAATGGTTGTTAAAACATCTCACTAGTTAGGTATTTCATAAATATCAAACCCTAATTCGTGATGCTGCTCCAGTGCCTCCATGCCTCCATCCCTGCTGCAACAGTGCTCCGCTCTGACCCTCCCTTCTGCTTGAGGATAATTGTTTTTTCTAGTGTTTATCTATTTTTCCATTTGTTTAACAAGTCAGAAAAGGTTTAGTAATTTACTGATTTTTGCCATTTGTTAACATGTCTTAGACTAGGTTTAATGATTTATGCCCTTTGTTAACTCATCTACTATTCTTTATTTGTTACTTGTGACGAACAGCTTGATTTGTTTTGTTTGAGGATATATATACCTATATAAATTGATTTTTGGTTGCATCTATAACAAACTATGTGCGTATCAAATGATTCAATAACTTTTTTCAACTTACCATTTGTTTTTGTTGAAAACTTGAAATCGATTCATGGCTGCTTGCTTGTTTTCAGTCCATAAAAAATGGATATGTTCTAGTGTATGTGAATTTGGGTAAGATTGAGTTGTACCATACAACCCACGAGCTGTAGCGTGTACATACATTTAATAGTTTTAATCCATTTAATAGATTTTTTTTTTATCCTAATACAAAATTTATAATTTATATGAAGACCAATAAATCATATTAGGGGATATTGATTTGGCATGTTTGGCACTTTTATAAGCATAAGATGTGTTATAGAATAAATTTATGGAGCAAGTTAGTAACATAATTGTCGACCTAATCTTTAATCGACTTATATCCTACGATATTGATTGGATAGAGGTCTATTGAATGTCAGTTATGGAGAAGCAAAGCAACCGACTCTGTATGCTATAGGATACATGTTTGGTTTTTGTTGGGATATAATATCCTAAAAACTGTTGTATGATCTTGTAGGGAGATTGGTACTTATGAGAAAAGCTTTTAATCCCAAGATTTTTAGGGAAGTTTCAAGTAGATTTAAACTAGGTGTACATCAAAAGTTTTCACTTTTATGTGATTCATCGTTGTTGGATGTGTTTTGATTTGAATATAGTGGAAAATGCATGATTTAAAATGATGTTATGAAACGTGATCGTTAAATGTTTTATACAAAATAATTTTGTACATATTAAGCATGCTTGTTATTCTGATAAAACATGTGGAAAATACTTTGATGTCTTGAAAAATTAATGTTTTAATAAACATGTTATTGAATTTAAAATGGGGGAATAGTACTTTGTATAAATGAAGCATTTGTGAGATACTCGGCTAATAGGTTGTGGTGGAATCGGATCTGGTGACTTAGGGTCACCCCCTTTGTTGCATTTGTATTGGGATCGCTCCTTTACAGTTAGATGGGTTGCTCCCATCGGGTGTTGTATTTGAGTACCGTGCACAAATGTGCGCTAGATACTCGCCTAATAGGTATAGTGTTAGGTGAAAGCTGGTGATTATATAACAAAGTTAGTCTAACGAGTAGTGCACTGCTGAGTAGTGCTCCTCTACTAATTTCGGTTGTTCTGGGCCACCCCCACATGGTGTTATATTAATAAAGCTTTGTGGATTTTGTTAATCACGAGCTTATACTGATTTTGATGAGAAATAAATGCGTCTGGTGTGTTGCTTGAGTTTTATGTAAATCATCCATTGTTTTGAAAGTGTGGATTTAATTGAATTGTTCTTTTTTTGAAAACTCTTGATTGAACTCATCACACGTGTAGTCTGATTTGTTTCGTTCTGTTAATGTACATCTCCAGACCTAGAAACCCGATGGTAGTACTAGTGGTAGTAAAGTGTGGTAGGTAAGCTTGATGGATGATGCACCATTTTGGTAACTTCTGAAAGAAAATTTTGTAGTTGAATATAGTATTTTGGTGGAAATTGATGTAGCATCATCCATTGTAATTAGTCATATGTGTATAGACTAGATGGTAAATGTGGCATGTGTGTATACGCTTCTTTTGAAATTATTATATATACAAATGGCATATCACGACTTTTCGGATAGGTCATGTCGAAATTTCGCAAGATGTTATATGACATAAGTATTATCTTATGTGTTGACGGCGATATAACTTGGTTTAGGTCTTGTGGGAAAATTCTAACAATTGATTATTTTGGTATGTGCCTATGATGTTGATCCTTTTGATTGGGCTAGGGTGCATAGAGCAAGACATTTGTTTTTATCATGATTGAAGAGTGACCATGAATTTGACCTTTTTTTTGCAGGATGGCACAGTCAGCATCTGGGTGTGAGAGATGTAATGATAATCCAGATGTGCAACATGAGTTAATATGTAACCAAGGTGACCTCTTCCCATTTCCTGGTTTTATCGTCAATAACAAAAATGATGTTGAAGATTATACTCCAATTACCAAGATTCCATGTGGGTCTGTCCTGACTTGTGTCAATTCTGCCAAGTCTACTGAAGAAAGCTCAAGCACTGCTACCACAAAAACCCCTCCGATTGAGCCATCTGTGTCTCCTGAAATCCAATCCAGTTTGTGTCGATCTGTGCTTGTTTCAGGAGCCACACCTTCGACTTGTTATGGTGCCGGGCATGTAATCTCTGGGGTCATTGACAAGAGAAAATGCAAGGCCAGGGGAATTCTTTCTGTAGGACGTAGAAACCCCCTTGAAAGGGACATCCCAGAAGACAATATTGATTGCATTAGTTATGGTAAAAGGGGAAAAGGCATCTTTGGAAAATCTAGACCCTCTATGATTCCTTTTCCTGCTGAAGCTACAATTAGTTGGCATTTGTCACCATCTTCTGCTGGCAAAACCAATTACCCAAAAGGATTGCGTCAATCTTCAAAAATAGTTGAATCTGCTATAATCCCGTCATGTTCTTCACCCAGGGTCCCCCCTTCTTGCACACATAATCCTAAGTTTCAATGTCTATTAGAGCCTATATCAAACAAAGTGGTAAAGAAACCATCCGCAACTTCTCCTTGTGACACTCCTCACCACGGAGCTGTTATTTCACAAGAAGAGATAACATCATCCTTCAATTTCAATGCAGAATGGTCTCCATTTTCTGCATGCTCTTTAAGTAGTGGGAATGTTATGCAAACTCCAAACTCGGATTCAAGCTTAGAAAGGCGCGGGAGTTTATGTTGGCTGAAGGAAGGCATTCAATTGAATCATAAGTTTAAATCTGACCTTGATCAAGTGACAGATGTTTTTCAACATGAAAGCTTATCCCTTGAGGATGATGCATCACCATGGGATCCACCATCTTCTGATCTTACAAACCTTAACCATCTCAGAGAAAATTCGGATAGTCATGCATCGTGGGTTTCCAACTCAACTTCAGGGAACGTGTCAGAGTCACAGATGCATATATCTTGGAGGGATGGACTCATAAGTGATGCTTTTGATAAGGACGATTTAGATTGTTGTAGATTGTTGTCAGACGAAGAAATGGATGCTGATGAACTGTTAAAGTCTCATATGCTTTTCGAGCACAAAGTACAAGCTGATGGAAACGACAAAGAAACTTCACTTCCTATTCAATTAAACCCTTGTGCAGAGTCTATCTGCACTGATGACAGCAGACTAATTGCATCTGGGGACTCGGACTGGACTCTCTACTACAAAAAACCAGTCATTTGAACTGTCTTCCATATTTACTTAAAGTAAGTTTGCCCCGTCTTATTAATTTATATCTTATCATTTCATATAGAAGGTTAGCATGTTATGTTTGTTTTTCACGAACATTAACAGGTAAGAATAAGTTACTGGAAACGATCTCAAGATCCATGTCATTTTTCAGTTATTCCCAGAAAGAGGCAAAAAAGATGGAAAAACTAATTGTCAAGAAACTTTAGTAATATACATACACATTCACAGTTTACAAATTGATATTATTGATATCGCGTTCGATCATGATAAAGATGAAGATGACCCGTTCAATCTAGATTTTCTTCTGTAGAATCCTTGTGTAGTTCTTCAGGAGGGATAAAGCAATCCATCGAGAGGCCAGGGACATTAAATGCTAAATCATCGATGGTCCACTTCTCCTCCATCCTTGTGATGACAGGTCCTGCCCTCAAATTATCCCCAAATCGTGTGATTATTACGTCTGATTGGCCAGAATGTGCAATCATCACACCCTCAATGATTCGGTAGTCCTCTATTTTTGTTGCCATATAAGTTTCCCAGTACATAGGGAATGAACCTGGTGCTTGGACTCTAGTTAAGTAAGAATCCTCCAAGTGTACCAGCAACCCATTTCTTTGGCTAAAGTAACCAAACATTACATGTTTGATCATCTCTGCAGTATTGTCGCTTCGTTCAGCTAGGTCTGCATCATCTGCCGACAATTTTAAGACGAAGCAATCAACATCCCCGATTCGCTTTTCTCCCATGTATTGTGCTTGGGAGAACACACCTGCCACAGCCATAGGATCTAAGCCCTACATATTTAAGCAGAAGTTAACCAACAAACCATGATTAGCTAAAAGCCATGGACCTTAGTGCCTGAAGCCAATAAGTTAATGGATGAAAATGTCATCAAGCCAAAATGCAAGGGGCTAAAGTTACATTCATACTTGCATCTTTGCCCGCATGTTAAATTGCACCAACCATCATCGTCATCACAAAGATAAATACTTAAAACTTTTACTAGAGTGATACATCTCCAACCATTGGGGGCACCCCTTTTACCGAAGCGATGGCTTACTAACGTCATTGTCTCTCAAGTTCTTTGGTTTATCCTTTTGCAACTCCATAAATTATGTATATATTCATATTTATATATAGTTTTCGGATCACGTGAGACGATGCTACATATATATATATATATATATATAGTAGCGTTGAGGGGCATTTTGTTAGGAAGTTGTGATACTCATGACTTAATTTACAAAGTTATAAGTTTGTAGTGACTGAACCTGTTAATTCTATAAGCATGTGGACCATCATAATACATGTGAAGTGTTCATCCTTTGGGCCTTGACAATGAGAAGCCATTGGAAAAGTAAAGGTAGTTGAAGAATATTGAGGTACCTTACAAAATGGGAAATTGACATGTCACACCCACCAAAGTGGGCCATTTGCTAAAGCTGTTTGCCACTTTCTACTTTCACATTAAAATATCCAGTCTCAGAAGGATTCCTATGACTCTGAGAATAACGTCATAAACAGTATCTTTTTGTAACTTCCCAGAAAGTTGCGGGACCAATTATGAAATATCATATTTATTAATTAAAATATTAACCATTAGTTAATTTGCTATGTTTCTATTAAATATTTAGAGGAAAGTTCAGTCGCAAATCTGTCTTTCGTGACATGCGTTCTCATTCATCATGAATGCAGCTGCACATTTTTTATTGCATAAATTTGTAGCATACTCGATTAAATGTCTTTTTATCGACAAAAATTAGTAGTAAATGTTAATTAATTTGTTCATGTCTGTATGTTCTTACTTGAAGAGCACGGCGGAGAGGACGGACACCACCTTTGGCAGCATGAGACCCGAGCCACGGTGTATGCCGCCAAGCAACATTGCCGTCGCTGCCTGCAACCACCTTGTGGCCACCAACAACAAGCTCAATCAACCATTTGTTTGGTACCATCTGCCACATAACAAAACAACCTCTTTGCGACACTCTGACATTGCTGATGGCGGTCAATGCATTTGAGTTGAGCTCGTCCACCATGGCCATGTTAACTTTTCCGGTGGCGTACATGTTTCTTACCGTCCCCTCTAGCTTTCTACAACCGGTGGCTGCTGTGAAATGTTGTATTATATATTGTGCTGATGACGAGACCTGGTGAGACGAACCGATTCCACTATTAAATAAATATGTTTTACATGATTCAAAATCTTTTAATATAATCTTGTTGTATTTTCTAAAACATAAGTGAATCTGGATGATGTTTGATTTAATTAAGACAAGTTGAATCACTTAAATATGAATTGCAAAAGGAGCTGAATGTTGGTTAGGAAGTAGGTTAATTTATATAAAATCTTGGTTCATTAAAGAAGGCACACATATTGACATGGACTGGTGGTCCGAAACAAAAGAACAAAATGCAGTAGGGGTATTAATGGCATTTATTGATATTTTTACCCTACCCCACCCCACCCCTCTCTCTCTCTCTCTCTCTCTCTCTCTCTATATATATATATATATATATATTWATTTATTGGATTGCATTGGTTATACAAATGCGATGAGTTGTATTTGAAACAAACCCTCCTCTTTCTCTCTCTCTCTCTCTCTCTCTCTCTCTATATATATATATATATATATATAGGGTTGGGTTCACGTGAGACCAAGAGTTTTTCGTGAGACCCGTAAGACCAATTTATGTTCATTGATCAATCTTATAATCTAATGATCTAATGGTCTAAAGTTGCACGATGACAATTTTGTGATTATTGAGAAGTCTTGTGACAATTTTGTGATTATGAATGTTCTGATTGTAGATCTAAATCAAAGGGTTGAGAATTGGTCTTACGGGTCTCACGAAAAAGCCTTGGTCTCACATGATCCCAAGTCTGTATATGTGTATATATATATATATATATATGTATGTATGTATATGTATATATAAACTTGGGATCATATGGACCAAGACTTTTTCGTGAGACCCGTAAGACCAATTCTCAACCCTTGGATTAAATCTACAATCTCAACATTCATAATCACAAAATTGTCACGAGACTTCTCAATAATTACAAAATTGTCACCATGCAATTTTAGACCATTAGATCATTAGCTTATAAAGTTGATCAATGAACATAAATTGATCTCACGGGTCTCACGAAAAACCTTTGGTCTCACGTGAACCCAACCCTATATATATGTGTATGTATATGTATATATAACAAAGACTTAGCAGAATTGACTTTAAAGTTACCCTTTAATGTTTTTCTTTAAACTTACATATTTTCATTCTTACGATATTTACTTGTTTGGTGATGTATTTTTGAAAATCTTTGAAATATATAACACTGATGCATTTGAATTATGAAAATTCGGAATTGGGAAAAATTTGTATTGATATTTTTATTATTAAATTAAGAATAATAAAATACTTGTTTTGTCGTATAACTTATTTAATTAAAATATTAATTATATTTAATATAATTTAGGTTTTAAAATAGCTTAATGAGGAGATGATCTTAACCTCTGAGCTTAAAGATAGAAAACAAATCCCTTGCACAATTTCACCATTGAGTAGGTAAAACATATCAATAGGAGAATGTAGATCGATTGAGGTATATAAACGCGTGGGTTTCCAAAACTTAATTTGTTTATTTGAAAAAGTAATACGAGTTTTTGAAAATCTCTTAAGTTTCTAATTTTATTGTTTATAATAAAAAGATTAAATTGGAATGTTATAAAAATTAAAACATTTTATATACATTATTTATTTATACTTAATACTTTAATAGTTGTTTTTGATAAATTAAGTTTTCAAGAAACTAAAACTCAAATGCTAAATAAGGAATCGTATGGGAATAACAGTTATGGTAAGAATAGTGAGAACACTTCTAAGTCTTTACATTTATATGAGTTGACTTTTTCATCTAACTTAAATTTTTTCCAATTACCTTCGGTTATTTCATCTGCATTTAATTACCTTCAACTACATTAATCTACATTTATCTTCAAATTTGCTTTCAGTCTCAAGTTCTTTTCATGAACTTTTACATATATTTAATCACTTTCGCATGCATGAAATTTTTAAAATTTTGGCCATACATATACATACATACATACACACACATACATACATACACATACATATACATAGACTTGAGATCATGTGAGACTAAGGGTTTTTCGTGAGATCCGTAAGACTAATTCTCAACCATTGTATTTAGATTTACAATCTGAACATTCATAATCACAAAATTGCCATGAGATTTCTCAATAATCATAAAATTGTCACCGTACAACTTTAGACCATTAGCTAATTAACTTATAAAGTTGACCAATGAACATAAATTGGTCTTACAGGTGTCACGAAAAACCCTTGGTATCACGTGAACCCAACCCTACATACATATACATATATGTATATATGTATATATATATATATGAAAAAGCAGGAGAGGAGCTGACAATGGTGTATGCATAAAAAGTAAGATCAAAGAAGCATGCACCTCCACAAAAAGAGGATCAAGATTCCTAGTCCATGAGTAATAAAGTTTTCCATGTAGTTTTATTGGCCTCTTCTCCTTTTATTCAACATACAACTTTCTATTTCCTTCAATTATTATTTCTCTTCAATTACAAATTCATTATATATTATTCCTGGATATTAAAAAACATTACATTTTCTAAGAACCAACCATTTCAAAATAAGCATCCTAAAATCTAAAACCAACTTAATTCTATTCAGACATACATTTTTTTTTTCATATAAAGCAAATAAGACATATGTAAAACTAGTTGCCAACACTTGATTATGTACTTTGTCCATATATATATATATATATAAATGTAATACTTTGTGAAATAATTGTAGTTCTTATGGGGAAAATTTGAAGACGTTTGAAAAAGAAACCCATTAATTTCGTTTAGATATCCGTCACTTATCTGAAATAAGCCAAAGGCCCAAAAACCTAGAAAAACTTGATGCTAGAGATCCAAAAGCTCGATGACAATTCATCTTCGATACGCATTACACGAGAATTAAAAAGAAGACTTGTATCCGAGATCCGAAAATAAAAGAAAAACATTAATGATTTTGTTTAGTTTAGGCATGACCTACCTAAGAAAAGGGTAGGAAAAGAAATGATCTGAATGGATAATAGTAATAATGACTTAAAGGATTAAGACACAGATAATTAAGTGAACAAAATGGATGTGATATGATTAAGATTAAGATTAAGATGGATATTGATTGATACCTGAGATGATGATGATTTGGGAGTGGGAGGGAGGAAGGAGACTGGGAAGAGAGGGCAACCCAAAACACTTAGAAGGATATTGAGATCATTGATGGATTTGTGCTTATTAGGGAGGAGAGACAAATGGGTTTTCAGCCAATTACGCCATGTTTTATGAGATCTCTTTCCAGATGATGAGTACCATGGGCTGTGACTCTGATGATGCTTGTATTCTCCATCTTCATCGATGGGTTCTTCTGATAATGTTGCCAAACGACTCATCTCTCTCTCTCTCTCAATCTCTCTCTCTCTCTCTCTGAGAACCCTCAAAGTAGAAACCACTTAAATGCACTCCCTTTCCATTCAATTCCTTTCTGCACGTGCATCTCATGCCCCCCTTTTCTCTCTCTCTCAAATAGAAACCATTAAAGAAATTAATTATATTTAAGATGATTTATATTTTTTAGAATATGAGATATATTTGTTTTGTGTCTATGGAAAAAGCAATATGAGTTTTTTAAAAATCCTTTAAGCCTCCAAACTTATTGCTAACTTAAAATAAATAATTTATAATCATATAATTACTATATTTATTTATATAAAACCTGACCATAAAAAAAAAACAAACTAAAATTGTCAACAAATTAAAACTAATCAGTTCATACAATTTAAAATATTGAATTCATAGAATTTAAGGTTCAAGTTCATACAATTTAACTAACGAAAGGTGGGGGGGGGGGGGGGAACGTATTATGACTACTGCATAAACATAGCAAAATGCTCTAACAACACGGTCTGTTCGGCTAACTGGGCAGCGTGTGTGGCATGTTCCGCCTCCAAATCTGTCCTACTCTTCCATTTGGCCTACATCTCGGCCTGATGGCGCTCCTCTTGCAGCCACGCCTCCTCTTCTACCCTTGCCAACTTCTCTCTCAACTCCTCTACTTGTAAATATTCAATATTCGACAAAGTAGTAATTAGTTCACAATAAAAGTAATGAGAAAGTATATAACAATATAACCAACATACCTCCGCTGTTGATCTGATACCGTATGATCTTCTGGTGCTACTTCTATATCTATTAGTCACAACATAAGAGAGAGATCCTAGGAGGTCCTGAAACCATAAAGACGATCCTCCTTCCGTCCTCCGACACTCTGCTCCCAAAGAGATGCCTCGTCAAGAGGAGGGGTGTCGGTACTAGACTGTGACTTATCCCTAAACGATGTAACGGTTGGACTACTTGAAAGTCAAACTGAAGGTTTAGAGGAATTTTGGATAATTTTAAAACTCTAAGTGTAAAGGTTTGACTACCAATAAAGTTAAACCGTATGTATGAATGAAGTTGGAGGTCTTTTGAATGAGTTGAAAAGCCTACATGTAAAGTTTTGACTATTTGAAAGTCAAACTGTAGGTTTAGAAGAGTTTTGTATGACTTTGAAACTCTAAGTGTAAATGTTTGACTACTTGAACCGTAGGTTTAGAGAGTTTTGGATGACTTTAAAACCCTTATATGTGAATGAAGTTGGAGGTCTTTTGAGCGATTTAAAAAGCCTAAGTGTAATGGTTTGACGACTTGATAGTAAAACCGTAGATGTGAATGAAGCTGGAGATCTTTTGAACGAGTTGAAGAGCCTATGTGTAATTGTTTGATTACTTGAAAGTCAAACCGTAGGTTTAGAGGAGTTTGGATGACTCCAAAACTCTAAGTGTAAATGTTTGACTACTTGAAAGTCAAACCATAGATGTGAATGAAGTTAGAGGTCTTTTGAATCACTTGAAAACCATACATGTAATGATTTGACTAACTGGAAGTCAAACCTTAGGTTTAGAGGAGTTTTGTATGACTTGAAACTCTAAGTGTAACCCTGAAAGTCAAACCATATGTGTGAATGAAGTTGGAGGTCTTTTGAATGACTTGAAAAGCCTACATGTATAAGTTTTGACTACTTGAAAGTCAAATTATAGGTTTAGAGAGTTTTGGATGACTTTAAAACAATAAGTGTAAATTTTTAACTACTTGAAAGTCAAACCGTATGTGTGAATGGAGTTGAAGGTTTTTCAAGTGACTTGAAAATCCTACATGTATAAGTTTTGTTACTGATCAGTGAGAGATCTGTGAGGGAACTGGTTTTTGGCCCATCCCTCACAAATTCTTCGCAGATTAGCGACAAATCAATGATGGATAAGCCAAAAACCAGTTCCCTCGCTAATCCGTCACTAATCAGCGAGGGAATGGTTTTTGTCCTATCCATCGCTGATTCCCGAAGAATTTTTTTCGTTGTTGATACTCTCTTTTCTAGTAGTGTAATTGGGAGTTAGACAATTGATGATACAAGTTTTGACATCAAAAGGAGGAAACAAGGGCATATGCAACCTGGGTTGCATGGCAAATCGCCTAAGACCCTTGAATATCGGGGAAAAGGGAGGTACATGCGACCCCATATGCAACTTGAGTCACATGGCAGGTCACCTGTGTGGTCTAACGAGTTTTTATCGAGTTTAAGCCTAGTTTTGTAACAAGTGTTGAAGCATATCTCTCAAATTCAATTCCACACTTCAGATTAGTTATTTTGCAACCCTAAATTCTGTAATCAAAGCATTAAGGACAATCCATCTTGGTGAAATTCATTCTCGAATATCTTGAAAACAAAAGAACTTGGAAGAATTTGGGATCAAGACTAAAGAGGAGGTTGAGGTAAAGGTTGAAGAAGAAGAAATAGGAATCTTGCTAATTATCATCTTCTTTGATATGAAAGCAAGTACCATCCCGTTAAAGACATGTTTTCTTGTTCATATATCAAGGACGGATAAGGTTGCGCTAGGGGTGAGGTTAGTTAAATACGACATGAGGGGATATGGGATACATCTAATGGGTTTTTTTTTTTCTCGTAAGGTCTGTCTATACCGAATAAACTTAAGGGTTTATTCCACAATAGGGGAAGTGAGGCCCTGAGGAAGCGGAGGGAACAAAAGCTGGATCGGGCTTTATGAAAGTGAACTACCTTATTATTCAAGTCCAAAATAAGATGTTCATTTCTAAGTAGAGATTTTGAAAGAGAAGTTAAATGAATTAGATGATGGTTAAATGGGTGAAGTTGTTAAAACACCTTTATATTGTTGAAAAGTGGCACATGCATTCATATTATTGTTGATTTTGTTGAAGTGTAATTTAATTTGCTTCTTTGGAAAAAGAGTATGTGTGTTGGAATTAATTAATTGTTAAGATATACTTAAGATGGCTCACATGCTAAGGATGTTCTTGAATAAATTAAGGGTGTTAAGGGGTACCAGTAGTTTGAAATCAATGTGTAAATATATATGTATATATAGAGACATAGTTTGTTTCAAATGCAACCCATTATATTTGTACAATCAATGCAACCTAATAAATTGAAATATTTATGGAAATGACGAGAGTTCATTTATTATGATTTAAATATTTATGAAAGATAAATAAGTTTCATTAATTATGATCAATACTTTATATTAGAAAACATTCAGAACTTCTATGAAATTACATATTCATCAAATTAAATGGACGGTTGAGATTGAGTTGTATTGGTTGTACAAATGTAAGAGATTATATAATAACCCACCTCTCTTTCTCTCTCTATATATATATGATGTTCGTTATTGGATTATAATTGATTAATGCTATCTCTGCACGTATTCATTCAAAGGTGGGAAACAAAGCTATTTGAGGAATTATTTTACTAGGATTACCAGGTGAATAGACATACTTTCTAAAACAAGACCATACGTTAAACATGTTATAAATCTTGAATTTATTTGAAATGTTGTTAAACATGGTGGAATTATACACTTAATTAATGTGGTAACTATCTTATCAAATTACACTAAATAGAAATTAAACCAAAACTATTGTTTTCATTTGAGTCGTTTTTCCTTCTTTTAATTGACAAATTCAAAATGATTTATAAGTTCTGTCAAAGACAATGCCATTATTGAAATTACATGGAAATCATGCAGTGCCAGACCTAAAATTTTTGTTGAGCGGATACACCTTTAAGGTGGGCTAAAACTCTGCAAAGTCACCCGGTATGCTTTAGTCCAATTCCCTCGGTTTTGAGGAATTTTCAAGTTGTTTGGTTAATTTTGAGAGATTTTTTCAAAATTTTAGTTGATTTTAAGAGATTTTTCAGGTTTTTAGTTGATTTCAAGAGACTGTTTCAGTTTTTTGGTCGATATTTCTTATATCTTCTAATATCCTAAAGTACCTTTCAAATTTAGCAGGTATATTTTTTATACACCAAAAAACTTTTATATATAGAAATAAGTTGAACAGATACATGTAACCATGCTAAGACATAATAGGTCCACCAGTGAAATCATGAACATGGTTGGGGTTAATAATAAATTCTACTGGGTTTGAAAAAGTAAATGGAAAAATAGGGACTTTTTGAAATAAATAAGAGTTTATGGGTGTACCAGAAAGAAAAGTACAAGAACCATATGCACATGCATTTTTTTTTTTGCCTTTTAACTGTGTATAAAGTATTTACCTTCTTTTTTTTACAACTTTATATTAAAATTAATAATCAGATAAATCTTACAAATTAAATCTAAAGTTTTATCAATTGAACTATAACTTAATGGTTATTTGGTAGTTGCTGAATGCTTTGATGCAAAATGATTGAGAGACTATATATGATATAATGCGGAATGAAATATGGTTACCATTTTTACCGTCTGTATAATTTAATACTGAAAGAAATAATAGTGTTTCATAAATATCTGAACAAAATAATTACTTTGCAAGTATAAACTACAAACTCAATAATTACTCGCTCAAAACAAAATCTCATATTGATCCAAACAACATAAACAAACAAATTGTTACTTGTTTATATTTATATATCGAAGTTGATTAAGACTTTATTTTATCGTCATTATATATCTGAATTGAATAAAACTTTCTTTTATTAACATAAACTCCAATAAAAATTAACAACAGATAAAATCAAACAGAAATTCACATAAGTAATTTTTTATTCGGTAGTTATTTTAAAAGTAATTTTTTAAGTTGTACATTTTAGGGTATATAATTTATTTTAATTAACCTGGATATCCAACCCGTTATACGAGTCGAATAATTTCATGATGATCACTTGCTTTGCAAATTGCTTAGAGTCATCGGATTTGAACTTCCGTAACCACAAAAAGATTTTTATTCCTCTTTGGATTTTTCTAATTTTAGTATTGAGCGCTAACGTAATTCTTACATAGCATCCGTTAGACTTGATGTGTTTTCAAAAATAAATTTTAAAATAGTTTTTTTT